ACATCTGCACAAGCAAAAGTCATATTAAGCTTTAAATTCAAAGAGTGATTAATTTACTGCCATTTTAAAAAGGGATCTTTTGTAGAGTTCTAACCTCAATGTCATTTTTCCTTGCCTTCCCTTTCCATAGCCTTCTGAAACAAAAAGCTAGCCAGCCAAAAGGCAGTTTGCAATCAAGTGCTGCTTTCCTTGGTGCTAAGAGGTTTCACATAAGACATGATCAACCTCACTTGGGATCATGAGGATCACTAGCATATTTCTTTGGTGTACTGATACACAGCCCACCAACTCAGTGTGAAGAGGTAAGTTTTATTATTTTCCTTCTGTTGTGTTTAGTGTCTGCACAGAAAAAAAGCACTGAGTTTGGTCAATTTACCATAGAGATTAGGTTGGATGGTTGCTCTCAGTAAATCATACAATTTATTGACAGTTCATTTACTGAGCCTTACTGTTGACTCATGTTTAGACAAACAACTAGGAAAAAAATATTTTCTGGTTACTACAGGCCAACCTCTCCTAGAAATATTGATTTATAGTGTATGAAACTTCAACTGCAAAGCAAAATTAACATAAATAATTCCAGTAAAATACCCCAAACCCCAACATTTCAGACATAAACCTACAAGAAATCTAGGCTGATTATCAGAATTATGGGTCAATGAAACTTATTTTAACAGATTGCTTAGTCATCATCATCATGGCTAGGCTTTGTGAACAAAGGTTTGGGAAGAGCACTACCCACGTTTGTTGCAAGAGCATTGGTGGCTAAAAAGGTCAGTACGAGATATACACGTCCGGTTGCAAAAGGCACAGTAGAAAGACTCTTTAGGAGGTATATTCTGCAAGGCACGATCCTTTCTGCATTGCCTTTTGTCCTCAAGAGTGATCCTACCTGCTTTCTCAAAAGCATCAGCAGCGTTGAAGATAGTGTGGCTCCAGACCTCCCAATTGGAGGCCAGAGTAGAACAGTTATGTTGATCAATATGGCCAAGGCTGAGATGTTGTATCTTCTCTTTGGGGCTCCTCTCTTGCAGCAGCCAGTGACAAGATCATAAAGCAAGATCTTAGGGAGGTGGTGATCTTTCATCCTTGAGACGTGCCCTGCCCAACACAGCTGTGTTCTCAGTAACATGGCCTCAATACTTGTGATTACTGCTTGTTCTAGAACAGATGTATTGGTCACATAATCTGACCAGTGGATGTTTAGGATTGTGCGGAGACAGCGTTGATGGAAGTGTTCTAGGAGACACAGGTGGTGGCAGTAGATGACCCATGATTCAGATCCATATAAAAGAGTAGACAGCACAATGGCTCTGTAAACACTGATCTTTGTACTTTTCTTCAAGTGTTTATTTCACCAAACTCTCTTATGAAGCTTTCTGAAGGCACTATACGACTTTGCTAACCTGTTGTCTATCTCCCCGTCAATCTTACCATCCGAGGAGATGAGGCTACCTAGATAATTAAACTGCTGGACTGATTTGAGCTCTGATTGGCCAACGGTGATACGGGGATGATGGAAGACTTCCTGAGATGATGGTTGATGGAGAACTTCTGTCTTCTTTAAGCTGACTTCCAGCCCAAAGAGCTCAGCAGCATCTGCAAAGCAGGATGTTAAACGCTGCAGAGCTGCTTCTGTGTGGGCGACAAGGGCGGCGTCATCAGCATAAAGCAGCTCCTGGACAAGATGGTTTAAGGTCTTGGTGTGGGCCTTCAGTCGCCTTAGGTTGAAAAGGCTTCCATCAGTATGATATCGAATGTAGATACCGTCCTGATCATCAAGGTCTGCCATGGCCCTTTGAAGAATCATGCTGAAAAAGTCTGTGAACAGGGTAGGAGCAAGAAACAGCCTTGTTTCACACCATTCATTATTAGAAAGGGCTCAGAAAGCGTGTTGCCATATCTGACTTGACCGTGTTGATCCTCATGGAGTGAGATGATCATTTTAAGGAACTTGGGGGGACAACCTAAACGTTCCAAAATCTGCCATAGACCTTTTCTGCTCACAGTATCAAAAGCCTTGGTGAGGTTGGCAAAGGTTACATAGAGACCTTTGTTCTGTTCCCTACACTTCTTTTGCAGTTGTCTGAGAACAAATATCATGTCTGTGGTACTCCCGTTGGCTCTGAAACTACACTGACTTTCAGGTAGAATTCCTTCTGCTATAGTGGGTATTAGTCTGTTCAAGAGTATTCTTGCCAGGATTTTGCCAGCAATGGAGAGCAGAGTAATACCATGGTAATTTGAGCAGTCTGATTTAATTCCTTTTTTCCTGTACAAAGTGATGATGACTGCATCATGAAGGTCGGATGATAGTTCGCCTAGTTCCCAACAGCGCACCACAAACTCGTTAAAATTTAGCATGGAGCACAAGGCCCCCATGTTTCCAGATTTCAGGTGGAATTCCATCAACCCCAGCTGCCTTGCCAATTTTCACGTGCTGTATGGCCTTGAGGATTTCTCCCAAAGTGGGGGCAGTATCCAATTCGTACTTTACTGATTGTTGTGTGATGGACTGAATTGTTGAGTCTTGGACTACACGGTTGGTATAGAAAAGAGTCTGAAAGTGTTCAGACCATCGATTCAGAATGGAGGTTTTATCTGTTAGAAGCGTTTGACCATCAGTGCTGAGTAGAGGGCTTTGGACTGGGTATGTAGGCCCATACGCTTTTTTCAAGGCCTCATAGAATCCTTCATGATCACCTGTATCTGTACATAATTGAGTTTTTCCAGCTAGATCGATCCACCACTTGTTCTGGATGTCACAGAGTTTCTGTTGGAGCTTGCTGCATGGAAGACGAAAGGCTGTTTTTCTTGCGTGACAGGATGGCAGTGCAAGGTGTGCTTGGTGAGCGGTTCTCTTCTTCCTCAAAAACTCTTGGATCTCTTGTTTGTTTTCATCAAACCAATCCTTGTTCTTCTTGAAGGAGAACCCTAAGGATTCTTCAGAGGACTGCAGGATGCTGTTTTTAATATGCTGCCAAATCGTTTCAGGAGAGGAATCTGTAGAATCTATGGAATGGTTTTCGAGCCTAGTTTGAAGATTTGCCTGGAATCTGTCTCTCACTGTGGCTGATTGGAGTTTGTTAACTTGGAGTCTTCTCCTTGGGATACTGCCCCTTCTAGGTTTGAATTTAAGACTGAAGTTAAGTTTGCAGCGCACAAGCCGATGGTCTGTTTGGCATTCTGCGCTGGGCATCACGCAGGTATGGTGGACATCGCAGACATTTCTCCGTTGCACCAAGCCATAATCGATGGAGGTGCCAATGCTTATATCTAGGATGCATCCAGGTTGTCTTCAGACTATTTTTCTGCTGAAAGATAGTATTAGTGATGGTGAGCTGTTGCTCCGCACAGAATTCTAGCAGAAGTCGACCATTATCGTTGCAGTTTCCAACACCATGCTTGCCTAATATTCCTTTCCAGGCATCGAAATTCTTACCTACTCTGGCGTTGAAATCACCAAGGATAATGACCTTATCATCTGCAGGCACCTTTTGGGTAAGGCGGCGCAGGTCAGCGTAAAATTTATCTTTTTCGGCAGGGTCAGCTTGGAGAGTTGGGGCATTTATACCAAAGAGGACAACGTGTTGGTTGTTGTGTAGTGGAAGACATAGGGAGATAACGTGGTCAGAGTGATCTGTCGGCAGATTTTCGAGTTAGGAGCAATAGAGTTTTTGATCATGAAGCTGACTCCAGAGAGATGTTTTTCAGTTCTGGGCTTACCTGACCAAAAGAGTGTGTAACCAGCACCATGTTCTCTGAGGCTGCCTTCCTCGTGAAGGTGAACTTCACTGAGAGCAGCAATGTCGATGTTGAGACGAGCCAGTTCATGGGCAATTAGGGCAGAACGATGCTCAGGACGTCCGCTATCCGCAGAATCGAGCATGGTTCTGATGTTCCAACATGCTAGAGTTAATTTAGGTACACCTTTGGAGGCAGGTGCGTGCCTTTGTCTTTTGATCTTTGTGCGACCGCATTGGAAGAAGATGCCCGTTGGCCTGCGGTTAACCAACTGGGTGAAAGTGGAGATGAGCTTTGTTTAGGCCACCTTTTCTAGGCCCCTCTCTGAGTGGAGCAAGTAGTGCTGTCCTTGAAAAGGCTGCTTGGTCATTCAGGGTGCTGCCCCAAGAGACTGTCATCTCCAGTCAGTCTCAAATGACCAATATCCTGAACCACCTGCATGCAGGGTTGGGTCTGCGGCTTCCAGTGCACCTTTCACCTGCTGTTTTGACCCTCGCTCATCACTACAGGGCTTTGTGAATGTGGGTAAAGCCTTCAAGCCTGCGCAGTGGATTTTTTTTAAGGTGAGATGCAGTATGCGCAGAACTGAACCCACCCTTTAATCCTAAGGTTCATTTGCCACGGCCGAACAAGCTTGGACAGTGGCAGCAAGATCCTCAGTACATAGGTTTTATTAGAGTGACCTTTCTTAGATGGATGGCCTTACAGGGTTAAGTGAGCTCCATCTGCCCGGGTTTGGGATTAGAGTTGCCCTTCTCCTAGGATGACTGCCAGAAGGCCAACGAGCTCCTCCTGCCCAAGAATGTAGTGTATCTGGCCCTATGTTTTTGACCTGTCTGGCATTGGCAACCCTACTGAAGGCATGTGCCATCGCCAGCATAGCTCACAACGACATAGGGGCACACAGGCTTCATTCCTATTGGAATGATTTGGGTAAATCTTTCATTTCCCACTTTACTTTACTATCACCTATCTATATACAATCTCAAGGACATACCCAGGAACAACCCTTTGTCCTGACCACCCTTTCAGGATGTAACAAAGCAAAGCAAATATATCTAGAACATGCTGAACCTGGGCAGTAGCTGCAGGTGAGCCAAAAACAAACAAACAGACAAACCGTTCTGGCCCCTGTACCCATCCGAGGCTGGGGTGCCTTTCAAGGCCCCTGCCAGGTCGTGACCCCCATCACTCTAAGAGAACCCACTATCCACTCTGACCTTATCCTTCCCCCACTGTGTTACCACACTGCTCACCTGCGACATTTTGTACAGGATTGCTCTGCTTGCCCTCCCGCCAGTCTGAGGACCCCCACGGCCCGCTCGACACCCTTCCCCTCCCCCAAACTTGGAACGGCAAACCTCTGTGTGCTCTGAAGCTCCCCTCTCCTTTTCCACGGGGGCGCAGTACCCACCGGTGAGGCTCCCCCTCTCTCTCCTTTCTCCTGCCGGGGCCAGGGCGGGGGCCGATCGTGATCAGACCCAGGGGCCGGGGTCCCCGGAGCTCCACAGGCGTGCCACAGGGGCTTCTGGGGTCCCCGGAGCTTAGCAGCACAGTAACAATAACCATTGAGACTACTTGTAAAGCACTGAACTGCATATCCCTTTTCTCTTTTACAAGCAGTCAATTCCATAAGTTATTCCACCAGGTATTTTGAAGCGTCTATTCATTAGCAATAGAAATAAGAACACCATTTGACTCATTAGAAGCTATGCATGTAATTTTCAAAAACCTGAGACTAAAGTTGGTTCTAAAGATCTTCTCTAGGCCATCTGGGTTTAATGGAGAAAACCCCAAGCACAGCCAAACCGCAAACCCCTTTAGAATCCAGTATGAGTTCATAGAATCAGAATCATAGATTCAGCTGCGTTGGAAAAGACGTCCGAGATCATCAAGTCCAACCCTTGATCCACTACTGCTGCGGTTACTAGACCATGGCACTAAGTGCCACATTCAGTCTCTTTTTAAAAATCTCCAGGGACAGAGAATCCACCACTTCCCTAGGCAGCCCATTCCAATGTCTGACCACCCTCTCTGTAAAGAAATTCTTTCTAATGTCTAGCCTAAACCTCCCCTGGCACAACTTGAGACCATACTCTCTTGTCTTGCTGATAGTTGTCTGGGAAAAGAGGCCAACCCCCACCTGGCTACGACCTCCTTTCAGGGAGTTGTAGAGAGTGATGAGGTCTCCCCTGAGCCTCCTCTTCTCCAGGCTGAACAGCCCCAGCTCCCTCAGCCTCTCCTCATAGGACTTGTGCTTGAGTCCCTTCACCAGCCTTGTTGCCCTCCTCTGGACCTGCTCCAGCACCTCAATATCCTTCCTGAACTGAGGGGCCCAGAACTGGACACAGCACTCCAAGTGTGGTCTCACCAGCGCTGAGTACAGGGGAAGAATCACTGCCCTGGTCCTGCTGGTCACACCTGTTCCTGATCCAGGCCAGGATGCCATTGGCCTTCTTGGCCACCTGAGCACACTGCTGGCTCATGTTCAACTTCCTGTCAATCCAAATTCTCAGGTCCATTTCTGTCTGGCTGCTCTCCAGCCACTCTGTGCCCAGCCTGTAGCGCTGCATGGAGTTGTTGTGGCCAAAGTGCAGGACCCGGCACTTGGCCTTCTTTGAACCTCATCCCGTTAGAATCAGACCATCTCTCCAACCTGTCTAGGTTCCTCTGCAGAACCCTCCTGCCTTCCAGCTGATCGACACTCCCCCCCAGCTTAGTGTCATCTGCAAATTTGCAGATGATGGACTCAATCCCCTCATCTAAATCATCAATAAAGATATTAAACAGAACTGGGCCCAACACTGATCCCTGGGGGACACCACTATGACTGGCCTCCAACTGGTTGCAGCACTGTTCATCACCACTCTCTGGGCCTGGCCCTCCAGCCAGTTCCTAACCCAGCACAGAGTGCCCCTGTCCAAGCCGTGGGCTGCCAGCTTTTTCAGGAGAATGCTGTGGGAGATGGTGTCAAAGGCTTTGCTGAAGTCCAGGTTGACCACATCCACAGCCTTCCCCTCATCCACCAGGCGGGTCACCTGATCATAAAAGGAGATCAGATTGGCCAGACAGGACCTGCCCTTCCTAAACCTGTTCTGGCTGGGTCTGATCCCTTGTCCATCCTGTAGATGCTGTGTGATTGCACTTAGGATGATCTGCTCCATAACCTTGCCAGGCACTGAGGTCAGGCTGACGGGTCTGTAGTTTCCTGGGTCCTCCTTCCGGCCCTTTTTGTGGATTGGCATGACATTTGCCAACTTCCAATCATCTGGGCCCTCCCCAGTGAGCCGGGACTGTTGGTAGATGATGGAGAGTGGCTTGGGCAGCTCTTCCACCAGCTCCCTCATCACCCTTGGGTGGATCTCATCTGGTCCCATAGACTTGTGAGGATCCAAGTGGCTCAGCAGGTCACTGTTTCCTCCTGGATTACAGGGGGGCTATTCAGATTCTTATCTCTTTCTACAAGCTCCAGAAGCCAGCTGTCCTCAGGACAACCTGTCTTCCTGTTGAAAACTGAGGTAAAGAAGATGTTAAATACCTCAGTCTTTTCCTCATCTTTGATGACTATGTTCCCCCCCATGTCCAATAAAGAATGGAGGTTTTCCTTGCCCCTTCTTTTGCTATTGATATATCTGTAGAAGGACTTTTTGTTATCCTTCACAGAAGTGGTGAGATTAAGTTCAAGTTGTGCCTCTGTGTCTCTAATTTTCTTCCTACATGACCTAACTATATTCCTAAACTCTTTGTGAGTAGCCAGCCCTTTTTTCCACAATCAGTAGGATCTCTTTTTTACCCTAATTTCTTTCAAAATCTCCCTGTTCAGCCAGACTGGTCGTCTTCCCCACCGGCTGGCCTTTCGGTACACTGGGACAGCCTGCTCCTGTGCTTTCAAGATGTCCTTCTTGAAGGGTGTCCATCCCTGCTGGACCCCTTTGTTTTCAAGGGCTTTTTTCCAAGGTACCTTCTGAACCAGTCTTCTGAATAGGCCGAAATCTGCCCTCTGGAAGTCCAGCGTAGAGGTTTTATTGATGGCCCTCCTTGCACCCCTGAGTATTGAAAACTCTATTATTTCATGGTCACTGTGCCTCAGACGGCCTCTGACCACCACATCTCCCACCAGCCCCTCTCTGTTTGTGAACAGGAGGTCTAGCGGGGCTCCATCCCTATTAGGCTCATTTACCAGCTGGAGCAGGAAATTATCCTCTATACACTCCAGGAATCTCCTAGACTGCCTCTTCTCTGCTGTGTAGAGCTCCCAGCAGACATCCAGCAGATTAAAGTCACCCAGAAGAAAAAGGGCTGGCAATTTTGAGACATCTGCCAGCTGCTTGTAGAATAATTCATCACCCTCATCATCCTGATTGGGTGGTCTGTAACAGACTCCCACCAGGATGTCAGCCTTGTTGGCCTTTCCCCTGATTTTGATCCATAGGCACTCAACCTTATTTTTACTGACTTCAAGTTCTACAGAGTCAAGAGACTCTCTAACATATAGAGCCACCCCTCCACCTTTCCTACCTTGCCTGTCCCTTCTGAAGAGCTTGTAGCCACCCATGGTAGCACTCCAGTCATGCAAGTCATCCCACCATGTTTCTGTGATGGTGACTACATCATAGCTTTCCTGCTGCATGATGGCTTCCAGTTCCTCTTGTTTGTCACCCCTCCTGCGTGCATTGGTGTACATGCATTTCAGCTGGGCTGCTGATTTCACCCTTAACTTGGGCTTTCCACCCTTAGGCTCCTCTCTGGAGAGCCCTATTTCAATCCCTTCCCCCTTCAAACCTAGTTTAGAGCCCTCCTGATCAGCCCCACCTACTTATGGGCTAGAGTCCTTCTGGCCTTCCTAGATAGATGAAGCCTATCTGATTTGAAGAGACTAGGTACAATGGAATTTGCCCCATGGTCAGAAAAACCAAAATTCCACCAGTGGTGGAATGTTCTTTGAACATGTTTGCTTGCTATTTACTCTGCCATATTTCTGGAGTGGTAGCAGGGTTAGTTAAAACATGAAAATTATGGTGGAAATGCAGTGAAGTCTCTCATTGTAATTAAACTTATCCAATATTTATACAGTTGGAGATCACAAAAAAATGATAGTTAAATCAATCTGACCTTAACGGTGCTTTTCCCTACACTACAGAACAAATCAAAAAACCCAAAGTCCTTTACCATGTCACAAAAAGGCAAAGAAGATTGTGGCTCAAGTTTAGAACAAGACATTTGCCACCTTTCTCAGTGTGTGCACATATCAGTATGTCATGGTCTAAGTTATAACCAAGAGTGGTATCTTTTGCTGTAACTCAAAAGCACAATTCAGACTAGATAGGCATACCAGGGGAAACCTTCCAACAGCACTAAAATCTATTCGAGGGTTACAGTTCTTGTAGCTAAGTAGAAAGGCTGTATCATATCAGTGTAGCGAACTATTTCCAAACTTGTTCACATCTATCTGTTCACTTGACAGTCATACTACACTATAGTGTAGTACACTACAGTATATAAGCTCTATAAACACCCAAAAGTGAAATCTTCATTTCTATACCTTTTTGCATCATGTTGTGCTAACCTTATAATGAAGTATCACATTTGTTTATGTTACATTCTTCTCTGTGTTATCCTCAGACTTCTCCCCTCAACCGTGAACATGTTGCATGTGTTGTTAACTTGCTGTCTTCTACTCTACACATATTCTTTCTTAACTCCAGAAATTCAACAGTTTCATACAGAATTCCTCATGAAATTTTTAGCATTACTTTCCTTTCTTCTCATTAACACAGAAACGTCTCACCTTGGACCTGGCTTTGAAAATTCTCTTGGTTCCACTGTGCATGTGGGTCCAGTTTACTGGGTTATCTAATTTTTTAAAAATTTGTTTTATGCATTCCAAGTGTTAAAGTTTGTATTTTTGTCTGTCTAACTACTTGTTTACATTTGGTTTACATAGATTACTAATTTTTTCCCTTACATTATGGGAAGATGTATGTTATGATCATGACAAAAAAACTCAAACCCTGTATCATCAAACAAATTATTTGGATCAGGATTTTTAAAAGTGATTAGAAGCATGCATTTTCTTAACATTCTGGTGCTCAATTTAGAATATCAACAAAGGAATTTGCACTAGTAGAAGGTCAATTACGCCTTTCTGAGCAAAGCAGACTATTCAAGAAAGCTGAAATTACATATCCAAAGTGGAGGTATCCATAGTTCCCTTTTTTATTCTGATGCCTAGTGATAAATTATAACAAGAAGCTTCCTTTTCTGAAAATGACATAGTAAACCATTCAAGGTATAAATTCTGCAAACAATGGTGTTAATTTTATACTTTTACGTAGATACCATAGGAGTATCCAAACAGAATCCTACAACAGACATACATGAACTATTTTCCATAGTTTATATTAGACTGCCCAAGCTGAGCCTATCTTCACAAGTCAGCTCTGCTAAAAACAAGCAAACAAAAAAATGCATACATAGATACATTAACACACTAAAGATAGTTTCTCTTGTGATAAAATAACTGGAAGAAAAGTCTTACACTGTAAAAGTAATCCAGAGACTGGAAGAATTAATTGCTAAAGAACCCTTTGATACTGTTTACTTATTTCTCAGTAGTACATCATAGGTCGTTCTAACTTGGACAGTAGAGTTTCTTGTTCTGTTTGTGTTTCAGCTGTCATATTTCACAAATAAAAGGTGGCAATATTTTTCTAATATTTTTCTAAAACATACTAGGGTCTACAGCAACTGACATTACAAAATTAATGTACTAATGGTTACCATTTATTCCATGAAAGTGCATGTCATTGTTCAGGAATGGTATTCCCCAATTTAGTGTTCCCAAGGAAACTCCAAACTACACACTCCTCCTGCAGCTGGAGAGAAGAATTATACAAATAAAAGAGAAAAATAAGAATTAAATTTGATGTACAGAAGGTTACAACATCTAGAGATAAATTCCTTGAACATTCACTGTTAGATGTACCCATTAGTAGGTTTTATTGCAAAATTTGTAAAGGGGTCTGAACCCTAATCCTAAGCATAATTCATAGAATCACAGAATACTCTGAGTTCGAAGGGACCCACAAGGATCATCAGATCCAACTTGTAAGCACATGGCCCCTATGGGGATCAAACCTAGAACCTTGACATTATTAGCACTGTGCTCTAATCAACTATCTAGTCTCAGGGTCTGAGGTTCCTGAAATAATTATTTTAAACTGTTCAGTCTTGAATATTAAACAAATTTAAAGCTGTGTGGTTTTCCTTTCCTTCCATGTAACATAATATTGTAACACAACAATGGGCCATTTTTTCAGTTTAAAATAACTAAATAATTAAAATAATCTTCAGCACTCTTGCATTAATGATGCCCTCTCCTCAACAACTGTTCTATACCTACAGATTTAAGTACAATGTACTGAACTTGAAGACAGGGATGGAGAGCAGAATAAAACCCCCATAACCCAAGTGGAAATGGTCAGCAGCCTGTTACACCACTTAGACATATACGAGTCTATGGGGTCAGATGGGATCCATGCAAGGGCACTGAGGAAACTGTCAGAAGACTTCACTAAACCACTTTCAATCATTTATCAGCAGTATTGGCAAACCGGGGAGGTCTCCATTGACTGGAAGTTTACCAGTGTGATGTCCATCTACAAGAGAGGTCAGAAGGATGATCCAGGGAACTACAGGCCTGTCAACCTGACCTTGGTGCCAGGGAAGGTTATGGAGCGGATCATTTTGAGTGCCATTACATGACATGTACAGAACAACCAGGGTGTCAGGCCTAGATAGCAGGTCCTGCTTGACCAAGCTGATCTTCTTCTATGACAAGACGTCCCACTTACAGATGAGGGAAAGGCTGTGGATGTTGTCTATCTAGACAGATGCTTTAGTAAAGCATTTGACACAGTCTCCCCCAGCATTCTCCTGGAGAAACTGGCTGCTCATGACTTTGATAGGTACATTGTTCACTGGGTAAAAAACTGGATGGATGGCCATGCCCAGAGAGTGGTAGTGAATGGAGTTGAATCCAGCTGGCAACCAGTCACAAATGGTGTTCCCCAGGACTCAGTATTGGAGCCAGGTCTGTTTAATAGCTTTATCGGTGATCTGGATGAGAGGATTGACTGCAACCTCAGTCAGTTTGCAGACAACAACTAGTTGGGCAGGACTGTTGATACACTTGAGAGCAGGAAGGCTCTGCAGAGGGATTTGGACAGGCTGGATCCATGGGTCAAGGCCAATTGTATGAGGGTCAACAAGGCCAAGTGCTGGGTCTTGTACTTGCCTCACAACAACCTCTTGCAGCACTACAGACTTGGGACAGAGCAGCTGGAAACTGCCTAGTTGCAAAAGACCTGAGGATGTTGGTCAGCAGCCAGCTGAATGCAAGCCAGCAGTGTGCCCAGGTGGCCAAGAGGGCCAATGGCATCCTGGCCTGTATCAGAAACAGAGTGGCCAGTAGGACCAGGGAAGTGATTGTCCCTCTGTAATCGTCCCTGGTGTTGCTGCACCTTCAATCATGTGTTCAGTTTTGAGCCCTTCACTACAAGAAACATATTGAGGTGCTCAAGTTGTCCAGAGAAGCCAACAAAGTTGATGAAGGGTCTGGAGCACAAGTCTGATGAGGAGCAGTTGAGAGTGTTTAGCCTGGACAAAAGGAGCCTCAGAGGGACTTATCACTCTCTACAACTATCTGGAAGGAAGTCGTAGTGAGGAGGATGTCAGTCTCTTCTCCCAATAACAAGCCACAGAACAAGAGGAAATGGCATCATGCTGCACCAGGGGAGGTTTAGACTGTATATTAGTAAAAATCCCTTCACAGAAAGGGTTATCAAGCATTGGAACAGGCTGCCCAGTGAACTGGTTGGGTCACTATCTCCGAAGATATTTAAAAGATGTGTAGATGTAGTGTTTAGGGTCATGGTTTAGTGGTGGAATTCACAATGTTAGATTAATGGTTAGATGTGAGGGTATTAGAGGTCTTTTCCAATATAAATTATTCTATGACTCTATAACCACTCTGAAAGTCATGGAAATAGCATCAAAACCATTAGAATGAGTTTATAAAAACCTACATGCTTAAATATACACACCTTTCAAGCAGTCTTGAAACAAAATTTGTGGTAGACAAACCTTAAAAAGATCACAGTAGTAGTTCAACTTAGTAGTCAGAATTTGTCCCAACTGGCTTTCTACAAAAACTAGAAAAAAGTAATAGAAAAATAAACTTTGGATAACATAGAAGTAAAACACACCTATTTTTGCTTTCTTCACACATTTTCTCTACCAGCTCCATATGTCAATAAGGTGCAATGACACTGAAAAAAATTATAAATGTGTAAGTTTTTGGCTCTCAGAAAAGAATTTTGTTCAATGTTTGTGGAAATTTTGGCCTGTGTCTCCTCTTATTTGAAACAAGAGGTACCTCTTTAGTCACATTTCTACAACACTATGTTCATGTCATATTAACAACTGGATATCTCTCTCATCTAGATACTTATTTCAAGGAGAACTACATACTGTTTTCTGTTCTAAGGCCAGCAGGATAATTCTGAAATAAATATTTATTTGTTCTAATATTCCACTGATACAAAAAGTACAGCCATAGCTTGACAGCAACTTTGTAAAAGTAACTATTTATTTTCAAAGTACCTTCAAAAGAGAGTTTATTTA